CTGGGGAATTCTGGGAGTTGAAGTCCACACATCTTAAAGTTCCCAAGCTTGAGAAACAGTGCTGTAGAGAATATGCTGAATATAAGCACTATGGGAAAACCAGGGTATCCGTAGAAACTGGTTGGGGTTGTTGATAAGCTGGTATGCTACAAAGCAGAACAATGGCCTCCTTTTTTATTTGCAAGAACATCTCTGGGCAACGTGGGAGCCACAGGGGTCTTCTCAGGATCTCAGATGGGTGAATGGTTGCAATCCAGAGCTTTGCTTAGAATGCTCTCCTTCCCAGGAAAAGGGGCGTTTGAAGAATTTGAGATTTGCTAGTATCTCAAACAAAGAAACGGACCCATGACTTGACCCATTGTTCTCCACTTAGAGGATAGAACACGCTCCGAGTGTTCTGCAGCTTAATGTAAAATCTTGGGATTTTTTCCATGTTCAGAATACAGAATAACAGAGAAAGGTCTGATATCGTTCATTTGCCTAGTTCAGGCTAACAAATCTAGCCACCCTAGATTTGAGCCATCCACGTAGCCTCAGGTAAGCTTCAATCAATGGTTCAAGAATCTTGAAAGATAGGGCGAAGGTGCAGCCATGTTAACTAACATTGCACATTATGCAGACATTGAAATTGTTAATACAGATGAAGATTAAAAAGAACAGCATGTTTTCTCTTTCAATTTGCCGGTGCCGAAACACGGCTATATTTCTGATATATGCAAAAAGGCGGTTTACCAAAACTTCAGCACTGCTGGGGTTATCATGTATGTGCTTTATAAATGTTCCTGTACCCTGTGAAGTTTATTTAAGAATTCTTAACTTTAAAGAAGCATGTTTAAACTTTCCTCCTCCGTTCCCACATCACTGCTTTTCAAGAGAAATTACTTTTTATCTGCCTAGGAATTTGTAAGTAGCGGAAGGAAGCCAAGAGAACATTAGACTCTTGGTATTTTATCTTATAATTCTGTATGTACTTTTGAATTTTAATGTGTAATCCAATATATAATGTGCTGTTCATTACAGAACCTCTTTAACTGATCTCAGTGATGATTTGCCACTTTTAATTTAGGAACACAGAGAGCCAGTAACAGCCTTTCTCCATTTATTTTATTATCTCCCTGACTAGAAGCTTTAAGATTAACATTTTCCTTTAGCCTGATTGTGATTGTAATATGGTAATGACTTGGGAAATGGAAGAAAAGAACGTGCTGTTTCTTGATATCAATCTGATATAAATAAGGAAAAAACCAACTTTTTAACGTAGTGGTTACAAAAAGTTTTTATTGTAGTTTGCTGGAACACCATGTATTATAATAGCTCTCCACTGAATTATGAAAGGTGTAGAATTTTGCAGTCCGTGTGATTGGTAATAAAAAATTATCCTTTCCATGGCTGTTTTTTATTGAATAGGAAAATAAAGGCTAGCTGGATCCATCTCTTAACATTGGTGAGAAAATAAATTCAGGTGTGGCTTTTCAGAAATGGTGCTAAGCTAGTGCAAAGAGTTAAGCTAATGGTGTATCGGAGTTTGATCTACTCTGGTTTAAAAATGGGGATCTGTGGCATGGGGGGTTTGAGCCTGACCGTTGGAGCTTTTCCAGTCAACCTGATCAAAAGTAGCATGGCTTGGTGCAATATTAGAATCCCACTTTTCTTTCTCTCCTTCTTTCCGGGCAGAGAATCAGGGAGATGGCCTTGAGGAAACGGGCAGGAGCAGTTATATAAGCAGAGAGGGCTGAAGCATTTCTTAAGCCCTGGGAAGCAAGGTAGTATTTGGGAAAGACTCCAGCAGGATTTTCTTTGATTCACTGGGATTTGGGAGGGAGGGGAGGAAAGGCACAGTCAGGCTTGCAAGATGGATGTCAGCGCTAAACCAGATCAGGAAACAGACTCCCATGGAAGAACTGAATTCTGCCTTATTGAGAGAGGCTACAATAACAAAAGCTTGGAAGCCTAGTTGTGCTTATATAATGGTCCTTGCCTCAAGGTCATGAGGCAAGAATCAGCCATTATATAAGTCCCCTGATTTCCTGTGCCATCTGTTCGACGGCAGTTGGAGATAAAACCAACCCCTGGAAGATTCCTGAGCGGCCTTTTTGAACCTTAAGGTTTTTTGATTCCACCATGCTCCTTGCAGATTTCTCCCCTCTTACTCCATTTCCGCCACATCATACCCTACTTGGAGGATGCTGTTAAGAGTTTCAGTGTCTACTTTAGACACGCCCCAACTTTTCTTTTTGTAGTCAGTCTGTAGTAGTTTGCTGTCATGAGGTTCTGGTATCATTCAGGTGTGTGGGGACGTGATTTTATTGGGGAAAATGGTGACCACAGATGACAGCTGATGCCAAGAAGGTCATCTCCACACATTATCCTCTACAGCATAATCCTGCTTTCCCCCTTCAGTCTCAGAGCTGAGTGTTGGATTTGCAGAGTGGAAAGGGCATGACCCCCATGGTAAGCTGTCCTTGTGGACTCTTAAGGACCATGTGTGGTCTCCAGACAGGATGTTTCTCACCACTGTTTCAGCCAGTGCTGAGCTAAAGCTTGACTCTTTCTTTGGCTCCTAGATCTGGCTGGTAAGTCTACCTGTTGGATGCTAGTGTTCGCAAAGACTCAGCGATTCAGGTGTTACAATTTTAGATGTGCTTCTGAGAGAGCTTACGTGTCGCTGGTGAGGCAGTTCTTGATGCGGAGTTAGGTGGTTGTAATGTAATGCATCTTGTTGGTTTGAGAACCTGGAGCATCAATGTGTTTTGCATTCAGAATAACAGTAAGTGAAGGAGGAATATGCAGATGATGATTCACAAAACCCCCGTGGCAGGGATCCATTATATTATAGTGAAAATAGCTTCCTGAGCAATCTTGAGGGGTCTCCTCCTCCTCTTCCTCCTGCCATAAGGAAAGGATGTATAAAAGCCAGGAGCTAATTACTACAATGTGACAGTTGATCTGTTATGCTGATTTCACTCAACTTCTCTCTTTGTCTCTCTCTTTCTGAATTATGGAACAACACAGTAAGAAAACCAAATTGTTCCACTGATTTTTCAGTTTCTTTAAGCTTCTCGTGGATGTGGAGTTCCTTTCATCCCAGCATACCTGCTCCTTGCTCCCTCCTTGCCCGTGCCTGTAACATGAAGATAGCGTGGGTTGATTGTATTTGGGAAAGCTGCGCGCACATTGCAAAGGGCACCATTTGAAATTCTGTACATCCCACTCTCCATGGTGTAAGGAACAAGGACTAGCTGTACTCTTACAACTTCACTTGGGTGCTTTTTTCCCCCACCATGTGCACAGAACACGTTTTTGGCGCACACCTTTGTAATTTATTTGAAATATAGATTAATGGAGCCATCGCTGTTGCTTTATCAGCTCCTTTGGGAGCCAGTGAAGAGAAGCCAGGCTGATCTACGCAGATTAGAGTTATTTCTGGAAGCATAAATGTTTTAAAAAAGAGGAGGATAATTGATAACTGACTTTTATCATTTGAAATGCACCTCTTTCCCCATTTTGCATGCTATTCTATAATTCTGCCCCGTGTACGCATAATACATATCCTGTAACAGCCGATCCCTTTTGTTGTTTCTTGGCAGCTTTACTCTTTCTTTGATGTGTTGTGTTTGTAGAAATATTTCCCTATTGTCTTTTGAATTAATTTCAAAGTGTGGTAATTTATTGCCCTAAATCGGGAAAACAATCCAAGGCCTGGGAACACGTACAATGTGCCCCTTTCCAAAACTTTTCTGTGTGATCTCCAGGGCGTTCCTAAAAATTGGCTGGTCAATTGTGATTTTTAGAAGTGCAGAAAAAGAAGTTACTGAATATAAGAAAGCAATCACATTAATAGTTGCTCTTCATCTTAGTTCAGTCAAAATATGTTTTTATTCAAAGCCAGCTCTCTCTTTTTGGGTCCTGGCCAGTTCCAATTATGTTAGTATGTGATCCTTGGGGTGAGGGTTGCGTTGATATCTGGTGGTCCTCAGGTCAAAATGGCAGCTTTGTAAACAACCTCAGTTTCTCAACATCAAGGGCACCAACCACCATGCCAACAATTTGTTGGATTAAGGGAAGGGCAGGAGAAAGAAACGGGTTTAATCTCCTATAGGTATAAGCAACATTTGCATCAAATGTTGGGGGCAATCAACCCTTTTGTATGTCTCCATTCTTGACTACAATAAGGATTCTTATTTGGTGAAGCCAAGTCTCAGAGACTTCATCCAAGTCCAGCAGAGGGGGCTGAGTAAAGCTGTGAAGCATCTGGCAATCTGTGATTTACCACCAAGACCTATTTGGGGGAGTCCAGCATGCCTGATATGCTTCTCAAAGGACAGGGTCACTCTTGATCCCAAAAAGTAGGACATCCCAGCCCTAAATGATCTAGAGGAAGTAGTGAGTTTACTTATCATCTCTGCTTTCCACTAAAATGGTAAGATCCATTCAGAACAGTCTCCGAAGTGCATCATTTAATGCAGCCTTCACATGCTGGTATCTTCTAGAAGGTTTGGGCTAAATGCTGGTAGTGGATGATGGAAACTGCAAGATGGCTTTTTGGGAAGGTGTCTGCTTGGGAAAGTCTGTGCTAGCTAATGTACTTAAGAGATTCATTCTAATTGATCTTAAAGTGTAAGAATTCAGTGTCTGTCCCTTACATTTACAATTCTCTTCTTTGGAGGTTTGTTGAAACTCAAAAATGGATCTTCTAGATGTAAGTTTTTCTTCCTGCTGCTTTTTGAGGAACAGGGACTTGTGGGGGAGATATGGTTAAATAATGTACACATCATTCAACCAGTGTCCTAAGGATTGGAAGTGGGTATAAACACAGAGATGCCTCTTTATCCTTCTGTATAGAATGAAAATGAAAGTCTCTGGGTTTTTTGTGAAATCTTTCCTGATGAACAGTTGTAGAAAAGCCAAACTTGCACATTCTTTTGTATAGATTGGATTGCAGTAGGATTACATGTGTTAACACTTTTCTCCTCTTTCTCTCAAGACTTCATAATTCCACTGCTGCTAAAAATTGTGGGAGAAAAATGTTTTATTGCTTGAAGGAATGTGAAACTCATAATGCATGGCAAGAAATACAGACAAGTTTCCAAAAATTTATGAGCTTATGGTACCATTGGGACAGTCTTATTTAAATAGAAATTCCTTGCTTCGTTCGTTCATTCATTCATTCTTTCTTCCCCCCTTTTTTTAATAGTGTTAGCAATTTATTTGAACAACTCTTGGTGGCTTACTGAAGATGTAGTAAAGACGTCTGACCCTTCCCGGGAAGGTCTGATGCAGGTGAAAACATTACTTTAAGCCATAAGTACATAAGCTGGGATCCCAAGGTTGCATGCTGCCTCCAAAAACTATGGTTGTGGCCCCAGAAGCTTCTACAAAACTGCTAGCAAATTGTAATTCTTAATGTGACAAGAGCAGGAAGCTATTAAATAAATGGAATAATCATATTAATTGAATTGAACTAATTTAATCTAGTGTTAATTCATTTTAAATTAAAATAAATATTGTTCTTGAGTTTACAATTACAGTTTTTAATTTGAGTTTGTTATCAAATATACTCTTTAGTGTGTTATTTCATTACCCTCCTTATATGGCCTAGTTGGAATGTGGCAATGTATGCTGGCTTGCAAGGTAGTCTCTGGATTAAGAGATCCTAGCTTTCATAGAACAGTATAATGTCAAGATTTGCTTGGTTAAAGCAGGAATCTGTCCACTATGTCCTCAGGTCCTAGCTGAAGAAAGTACTCAGACACAATAATTAGTTTTCAGTGTCTACATACATACATACAGTGTCTACATACATACATACAGCAACATACAGAAGTCCTCCGACGAACAGCATACAGCAGTTCCACAGCGGTCCAGTCAGTCAGTATAATAGTATCCAATCCAAGTTCAATGTAGAATAGCGAGCGTGAGAGAAATC